GATTTGGAACTGGAATTTGAGGGGGGTGCTGTGCCAGGAGCATCCAGAGCTTTGTTTTCCCTCCTGGATGCAGCATTTCCCTTGGCTGGGAATGGTTAAGCTGGAGAGAGACCTGGAAGTGCTGAGGATGGAACCTGGGAAATCCATCCCAGCCCTTCCCTGCTCTCCCAGCCAAAAACTCCTTCCCAACATCCCACCTAAACCTCTCCCCTTTCAGTTTTAACCCCCTGGAGAAAGCTGGGCTGGAAGAGACTCCTGGCTGGCCCGAGGATCCGGGATCTTCGGAAAAGCTGGAGGGATCCCGGGGGGGGTTGGATTTGCCTGGAAGGAAGGGTTTGGAAGTGGCCAGTGAGGAATTGTTGACTTCTCAGTCCATCCTGGTTGAGAAAAGGCCACCAGGTTGGACAGAACACGCTGGAGAGGGGTGGGAAAGCCATTGGGAATAATCCATCGGATCCAGGTCATCAAATGTGGGAATCCTGCCAGCTCAGGTTGGTCCTGGCCACAGCAACCCCCTTCTTTTGGTGTCACAGGATCCTCTGGGCTTGGATCCTTTTCCCAGTGTCCTGGGCAGTCCTGAGGGGCCAGGAGAAGCCCAGAGCCTGGAGCTGGAACCTCTGGAATTGCCGGAGTCCGGAGGAGTCTCCAAGGTGAGGATAAACAGCGGGACACACGGAGAGATGAAGGGTTGGGGTTTTTTAATGTGTCTCTCAATTCAGGAAGGGAAGGGGGCTGGGAAGGGTCTGGAAAAGTCCTGAGGGAGCTGGGGGGGCTCATCCTGGGGAAAAAGAGGCTCAGGGGGGACCTTCTGGCTCCCTAAAATTCTGTGGAAGGAGGTTGGAGCCGGGGGGGGGTGTCGGACTCTGCTTCCAGGGAACAAGGGACAGGAGGAGAGGGAACGGCCTCAAGCTGTGCCAGGGGAAGTTCAAATTGGATATTAGGGAAAATTTCCTCATGGAAAGGGTGGTGAGGCCTTGGCAGGGGCTGCCCAGGGAGGTTTGGAGTCCCCACCCCTGGAGGTCTCCCAGGAAGGCCTGGATGTGGCACTCCGTGCTCTGGGCTGGGGGACAAGGTGGGCATCGGGCACAGGGGGGATCCATGGGCTGGGAGGGCTTTTCCAACTTAAATAATTCTGGGAATTGTCTCTGCTGCCCTGGCAGGGAAGGATCCGATCCTGCTGTTGGGATGGATTGAGATTGTCCAACAGAGGAGTCCACGCTGGGGCTGCCGGAGCTCCAGGAGTGTTTGGACAACGCTCTCAGGGACGGGGTGGGATTGTTGGGGTGTCTGTGCAGGACGATCCTTGGGGGTCCCTTCCAACTCAGGATATCCCCCAGGATTCCAGAGCTTGAGTAACCAGACCAATTCCCAGAGACAATCAACTCACCTGCAACTGCAGTTAAGATAATCAAGTCCTCTGCAATTGCAATTAACACCTCATTTTTATGGGAATTTGGAATTTATTAAGTTAAGGCTTCATCTCCACGCTGGGCCCAAATTCCTGGCACAGCTCCAGGAGTGCCATCAGAGGGCTGTATCCAGGTCACCTCCCAGAGCTGCAGGAGGATCTTCATGGATCTTAATCCAGGAGGATCTTCGTGGATTTTAATCCAGGAGGATCTTTGTGGATCTTAATCCAGGAGGATCTTTATGGATTTTAATCTGTCCCTTCTGGACAGGCCTGACAAGAGATAACCCAGGAAACAGCCCCTGGTGCTTTTCTCATCCTCTTTTTAGGGCATCCAAGAAGTGTCTCCACTCTCCAAAAACCCTTCCTGGCAGGAAATGTTGTCTCTCCAACTGGAGGCCCAAGAGCTTGTGGGATATTTGGGATATTTGGAACCACAGGGATGTTTGGAAGTGTCTCCTGACGGGTTTATCTCCCTCCTTCCGCTATCCCAGGTCGTTCCAAACCCCATCCAACCTGGCCTTGAACACTTCCAGGGAGGTGTAGACACAAGAATAGACTTTTTTAACCTTTCCACGACCCAAGAGACGGGTTAGAAACCCGGGAAAAAAAATTCCCTCCTTTTAATTACGGATTCAGGGATTAATTAAGGAGATGCCGACACGTGGAATCCGGAAATCTTATTTTAAAAGGGATTTTGGAAAGGAAAAAAGGGGCTGGGAGTTGACCAGAAAGGTGGGATGTGCCTATGGATAGATGATTTGATCCTCATGGACTGAGCTTTGAGTGACCTGCCCTCTCCACCTGCGTTGTATCCATTCGTTTTTCCAGCCTTTTAAGGCAGAATCTGGGATAATGTCAGGCTTGGGCACCCTGGCACACGCTCCAGAATTACTGATTTTTGGCGTTTTTCATCCAGAGTTTTGACCCAAAAAAAAAGCAGGAATTTCACTCGTTGGTCTCCACAGGGTCCACCTGCTGGTGATTCTCAGCCTGGGCACCAGTTCCTGGGAAACCCTCCTGAATCCTTGGAGAAAACGCCCGAGGAAAGACAGGAGGAGAGAGACTCGAGAGGGACAAACTCTTCTCTCCTCGGGGTAAGAAAATTCCTGGTCAGGGACTTGAAATTCCTTTTCCATTTGAACTGATTCCGATTTTCTTGGAATTTCGTTGCAATCCGGAGTTTTGCCCCCGTTTTCCTGCTCAGGTTGGAGAAGGGATAAGGATCAATGGCAGAGCTTGGGAAAGGGCCTCGCTGTCCCTCCTCTGCTCTGGGAATTCGTGGAATTGTACTGTCACTTGTCACCCTCTGCAGGGCTTGGCTGTGCCCCCACCGTTCCCAGAGGATGATCTGCAAGGAAACCAGTCCCTGGAGATTCCTGAGCCCTTGGAAAAGACGGAGGAAGCACAACCACAGCTGGAGGCCAGCCAGGTATGTGTGTCCCGGGATTCCTGGGCAGTGTGGGGATGAGGGAGGGACCGGGATGGACTGGGATGGACGTTGAGTCCTGGGGGAGCTTCCGACACATCCCTGGAGGACACCAGGGCTGGGACATGGAAGGACTGGGATGGACACTGAGCCCAACAATCCCTGGAGGACACCAGGGCTGGGACATGGAAGGACTGGGATGGACACTGAGCCCAACAATCCCTGGAGGACACCAGGGCTGGGACAAGAAAGGACTGGGATGGACACTGAGCCCAACAATCCCTGGAGGACACCAGGGCTGGGACATGGAAGGACTGGGATGGACACTGAGCCCAACAATCCCTGGAGGACACCAGGGCTGGGACAAGAAAAGAACTGGGATGGACATTGAGTTCAGCAA